CAAAACTGGATGTGTGAGCATTTCTTAATCCACTGCTGCAGAACCTCAAATGGATTTACTCAAGTCATATCCATGAATTGTTGATTTTTTACTGAAACAGGTGTAGGATTTTCTCTATGTATCCATGCTCTGAAATGATCCCAAGCATTTGCAGAGCAAATATGCATTTAAACCCTTGTGACCATGGGGTTTTTTTCAAGTGAATCATGCACAGGTTCATGTAAAGCCATCAAGTATTTGGTGGAAAAGTAGTATTCACAAAAATACAAAAAACTTTACTTCCCAGTGTTAACTGAAAATTAATACAACTGAAGATATTTTCAAAACAGGCCAGATTATAGATTTCTTCAGAGATCTAATTAGACAAATAAGGTGATCTTTACCTAGAAGTGGTAGGAAATTCACTCCACCTGTTCAAACCAAAACCTGGACTAGACTAATTAGTAAAACTGATCATCATTTTTGGTAATGCAAAAAGGAAATAACCCATTAAGTAGCAATGATAATGGCTTGACATTGTCATAAGCAGATTGAAATGCAACTATGTGCATTCCAGTATCACTGCCTGGTTAGAACTGATGATTTCCACTGGGCATTTCAATTCTTACCTCAGGAGTACATTCATAAAATTATGTCTTTAATATAGTAAATTTCATTATTTTAAGAAGGTAGATTTTAATAGTAAATAATTTCCAACTTCAAAGAACAATGTGAAAGATCAGTGTATCTCCTCCTTATTCTGAATTTCCACAGAATATAAGTAATTCCCTCCAGAACTCTTTTTTGTTATTTACACACTGTTTTAACATGGAAGCCAACAGGTAACAGTGGAGGGCCACAGAAGGAAATATAGACCATCCTCACTCACGAACATAACACAAACTCAATTGGCTTCTGACTGCAAGGACAGAAAGATAAAGAAAGAGAATCTGCTTTCCAAACACTTCCTTCTGCATTGATATAGGTGGTGAGGTAGAAACAATGAGAGACCCTATTGGTGGAAAACCCTTTTGGCAACCAAAGTGAAGTGGGTAGCCATGAGAAAGGGAGGAAATGATTCATTTTTTCCCCAACAGAACACAGCATAGAAAAGCATCATTGTCTTACACTCGCTTATAGCACAAGACTGCAAAGACTCAAATCTTAGCGTTCAGGGCACATTGATGTAGGAGGACAATGCCCAGACAGCCAAAGGTCTAAATCTGCAAGGTCTATGCATGCTGATTAACATGAGACTGCAAAGACCCAAGTCTTAGTGTCTAAGGCATGCTGATGTAGGAGGACAATGCACTTCCCAGAGAGCCAAAGGTCTAAATCTGCAAGGTCTATGCATGCTGATTAACATTCTAGTTATATGCATAAGCTTAACAAATGTGTTAATGGTTTAAGATGCTCATCCCATGACTACAAGTAGCGCAATCACATGCTCTGGCCTCACACACCGCCACGGCTGTGAAGTGTAGCATCAGCTGATTTCACTCTTCTGAAGTGCACTTTCAGCACAAGGCTAAAAAAACATAAAAGGTTTTGACTTTGTATAGTCCACAATAAAATCTGTTCAGCAAGATCACATTATCCTACCTTTTAAAAGGAAGAACAGAGGGGTGGCAAATTTCCACAGATGCTCTGAAAACCAGGAAGTTTTTCTAACAAAGGCCTAAGACACAGGATCACAACAGGCAAGACAGACCATTCAGATAGCAACAGAGAGAGCACACATGGAGAAAAGAGTAGAAGAGACTGGAAATCAGAAACTTTTATATGAAAAGGACTGAAAGAGGGAAGAAAGGGTAGGAACAGGGGTGAAATACTAAACAAGTAATATTAAACATCAAAATGAAGGTGACAGGTTAAATGAGGAAGACAGAAAAATTAACAAAGAGGAAGTTGAGTATATCACTTGCAAAATTGCTCATAACTATAACGCCACTTCTCCCTGCCTGCAGACAAACACAAGGGAATGCCAAGTTGAGCCTTGGCACTGGTGCAGATTATCTGACGCGTTCCTCAAGGAAGGAAAGGCAGCACACCAATACTGGATGAAATAATGTGTCTTAGAATATATTTTCATGCCTGCAGTGCCCAGCACAACCTCTCAAGAGAGCAAGACAATGTTCTTGAGAACACAGCAGAGCTCAAAAACAGAACCATCATACCTTTCAACAGAAAACCAGTGCTCAAGACTTACCCATTAATAGAGTGGAAGATTTTATCGTATTCTTCATCTGTAAGATTTAATCTGAAACACCAAAAAATAATTACAGAATATGTCATATATATGATGTACATATATTTGACCATGAAAATATAATCTCTTTTGAACAAAATATCTGACATAAAAAATATGCAGAAGAGTAAAATGGACACAAATCAAATTTCACTTGAAACAGCTCAATCCACAAGACTGAAAACAGGGCCCTGTCAGGTAGAGCTCCTGATGAGGTACTCTTGAGACCCTTATGCAAGACACTTGAAAAATGTACTATTTACAGGAATGGCATGGTTATTATTTCCTGCAGACCGGCCACTCCGGTTTCCAGCTGATTCCCAAGAAGGGCAGAGCTGCAAACAGTGGGTCACACCCATGCACCCCCAGCCTCCTTGCCAGCATGGCAGCACGAAAAGCAGAAAAGGCTTTGGCTCTGTTGTAAGCCCTGCTCAGCGATAACAAAAACACCTCTATATTATCAACCCTGTGTTCAGCACAAATCCAAAACACACCCCCACACCAGCTACTGTGAAGAAAATTAACTCTACCCCAGCCAAAACCAGCACATATGGCCACACTTCTGCAGAGGTGTGATAAGCTGGGTGTAAGTGAAAGTGTTCAGCTTTGCTGAAAGTAACTTACTTGCCAGAATTAGAAGCATCCTTTCATCGGTGAAGCTTCTGGTCAGCAAACATTCTGAAAGCTCCAGCAGCTACACGGGGAATGCTGGCTTCTAATTCAGCACTTAAGTGGTGCTATTGTTGGACTGTGTAGATACATGCTATTTTGTTTTTCTGTATTAGTATTGTTTTTAAGTACAGAAATTTATAATTTTACCATCTGGTTTCAGTGCATTTAATATTGTAATTAAATTTAATATTTTATTTAAATTTAATATTTGATAGCTCAGCGTTGGTATGAAGTACTGTCAGCTGTTACTTACCCTGCTACTTTTCACCAAACAACCAAAATAGAAGAAGATAGTGACCCATAGTTTGAACAGAACTGGAATTTATTTTCTGAAAGGAGTACTGATAGCCCTCCTTGATTCCCTGAATTCCAGGGCTAAAAAATGTGGAAAAAAAAAGATATCTAGGTATTTATGTGTGTTTGTCGTGTACTACACTGTACACTGAATCTTCTAGCTAACTTCAAAAACCATGCATGCAAACTACAGAAGGCAATTTTACTGGTAAAAGAAAAAAAATTAGAATTTTTCAAAGAGAGACTATCAACATAAGTATTAAAAAGTGTATATTCCATTCTTCTTTTATTTCAATTTCTGGAACTCTGAGAATTGTGGCATCTTCAAATTGTCTTTGAGGAGCAATAAACACTCAGAAAAACAGCAGAACTACCTTCTGTGCCTCTAAAAAGGTATCATACATACCTTACATAATGCAATTATTATCCACTCCTAAGGATTAAAAAAAAACATACCTTATAGGCACAGCTCGAGCACCGGCAGATTCCACAAATTTCACATATGAAGCCGCAATATAAGATCTTCCAAATCGCTGGTACTCATCAAAGTGACATTCCTGTGACAATATCCCTGAAGGCCCCAAGGAAGAAAATTAGCACCACATAAACGGCAAATGCTACATGCTGAAAGAAAAGTCACAAAATCACTGAACCGCTTGGAAAAGACCTCTAAGATCATCAAATCCAGCCTACAAATGAACACCGCCGTGTCAACCAGACCATGAAACAAGTGCCATGTCCAGTTTTTCATTAAAAGCCTCCAAGGACGGTGACTCCACCACCGCCCAGGGCAGTCCATAACAGTATCTAATCACGTTTCTGCGAGGAAATTCTTCCTAATGTCTAACCTAAACCTCCCCTAGGTAGCTTAACACTGTCCTCTTGTCCTTCCATTACAGTATCTAATCACCCTTCTGCGAGGAAATTCTTCCTAATGTCTAACCTAAACCTCGCCTAGGTAGCTTAACACTGTCCTCTTGTCCTATTGCTAGTTACCGAGAAGAGCCCGACCCCCACCTGGCTCCAGCCTCCTCTGAGGCAACGGTAAAGACCGATAAGGTCACACCGGAGCCTTGTCTTCTGCCCAAACCTCCCCAGGTTCCTCAGCCGCTCCTCCTAAGACCCTATTAATTAATTAATAACTATTTGCTCCTATTAATTAAGCTCCATCTCCTATATGCCAGCTAGCAGCGATACATTTACCGCCCACAGGAACTGCAGGCATCAAGACAACGGGGCATCAATTCCGGCGCCCGGTCACAAGGTACCACACAAACACACATTACCTGACTAAGACTCGGCTTCCCTGCACTGTAACTCCTCTCGGGCAAGCCTGACTTTCAGAGAAAGCCCGTACAGCGTGACGCTGCTCACACCGGCTCTAGCCAAACCCCGGCTTTCCCTACGGCCACGGCCGGAGCTCGGCCCTTACCGATGATGGGTCTGTCATTGCGCCCCGCCGGGCGGTCGCGCCGCGCCAGGGCGGCGGCGGAGGCGCCGCGCAGCAGCGCCAGGAGCAGCGCGGCGGCCGCCACGCCACCGAGCCCGGCCAGGCGCCCCATGGCACCGCCGGGAGCGACCGACGACGGCACGGCACGGCACGGCTCGGCTCCCCTCCGGGCACGGCTGCCGGGCGGGCTGGGCTGGGCTGGGCTGGGTGCCCGCCCTGCGGCACGCAGCTGCCGGCCCGCCCTCAGCGCGGCTCGCTGGGAAATGCAGTCCCGGCCCGCTGCCAAATGCAGTCCCGGCCCGCTGCCCCCAGCCCCGCGGCGCCTCCTCCTCTGAAAGCGCACCCGTGACAGACTGGTTCAACCAGAAAGGCTTTATTAATTAAAATATATGCTAATACATTTTAAAAGAGGGGAAAAAATTAAAAATTGTGCATTACATCGTGCTTACAGTCAGTAGTAAATTATATTTGTACCGTTTAAAAGGAACTTTATTTTTTTTTTAGAGGCACTCCCGATGTTTATAAAGAATAATGCACTGAGGGATTTTTGTTTTGTTGGCTGCTGCTCAAAGCTGCGACACCACCGCACATCATACCAATATCTTCACTATTCATTATGTAAATGTTCCAATTGTATTGTGTCCTTATTATTAGCAGCCATGGCAATTAACAGTTCCCACATCCTATATAATATGTAAACATTAAAAAATAATTAACAGTTCAGGAAAAAATAACTGCGCTCAGTGCTCTAACTGCTGAGTTATGCAAACACTCTACCACTTAATAACAGGATCAGGGTATTTTTTAAACCACTTATAACTTTATATTCATAGAGCTGGTGAAGTCCAAATAAAGATTAAAATGCCACAGCTAAATATGTATATACATGTGCAATCAAATGAGGTTTCTACTACATAAACCAGTAGCAATCAGAGATTGGTTTCATAGGAAAAGTTTAAATTTTCTTGTTCACTGAAACATGGTTCATTTCTTAGTGCAGTTTACATTCACAGATTAAAACTGAAGGACTTTAACATTAAGACAATAGCTTCAGGTCTCCAGCTGGTAAATTACTTGGAACTTGAGTTACACACTTGAACAATTGCCAGATACCTGACTACTTAGTCTATTTTCTTATAAAGAAGAATTTGCAGTTCATCGAACTTGTCTATTTAAGGATCTTTTGTATCACAAAACAGTGTATCACAAAATAGTGTCACAAAATCTGAGAAAAAGAAATATTTATGAAATACATCTTCACATAATCATATATCTGAATAAGGTTTCTTTAAATTTAGGCCTCATATCAAAAATATTTTGAAAGAGAAAAATTAAAAAGGCATTTCAGGAAATTCAGAAATTGGAAGAGGTTGTTGTCAGTTTTGAAAGAAGTTCTGGCATTAATCTTACCACAGCAGAAGAAAATACAATCAACAAGTACTCCAAGGGGTCTTTCATAGATATTCCTCTTGCTAATAAGGAATTGTTTCCAATGACTCTTGCAATAACGCCTTACTAATCATAATCTAAAGTAAGGCATTTCTAATATAATAGGATAGTTTCATTTCTCTTCCCTATGTCTAGATACCATTCCAATGTCCTAAAGAGTACTAAATAACAGAAGTTATCATTTCTAGCTACCTGAGATAAAAGCATTTTTTATGGATTTATTAATAGGAAAATTCATATGGAATGCTTAAACATATAGTGCTTATGCAAAAACAAAACAGAGTTAAGAACAGTTACTGTACTGAAAATAAAATTACAATACCAAGCATCTCCTATTCTGAGGTCCAAAGTGACCTTACAACACCCTTAAAAATACAACAGATATTTCTAAAGTTCAGATCTGCAAAGGATAACCTACTTTACCCTCTGAAACAAACAGATAATGCAAACAGCTGAAAACTTTTGACCTCTGTAGTCCACTATACTAGAGATTAAAGGATAATAATCTGAGTTTTTTATAGTTGTCCAAAGACAGTATCACTTTTAAGAAAGAAAATAATAATTTTCAAGGTTGTTATGACTCTTTTACCAGTTCCTCCCCTGATTCACACTGTTCTTGGAAGAATAGGTATGTACTGTTTTTCTATAAAACTTGAATATTATTCTGTTAATTAGGACAAAAAGGGAAGATGCACAAGCAGCACAAAGAGTAACACAAATGTCTCACTATTGCTGACTAATTTTCAATTTGATACAAACTAACAAAACAGCATTTTTTCCCTGAGAATCAATCCAAAAAGCAGCCTCTTCACTCCTTGTAAATCAGCTCTGTAGTCCTATTTCTGCAACAAACTACCCTATTCACAGTCTATTCTTTGTTTTGTATTGTCTTGACAAGCCAAGATTCAAGAGCTAAGTGTAAGGTTCTGGACTACATTATTACAGAAGAGTTGTCTCCAAAGACCGAACAGCAGCAGTATCAATCTGATTTCCAATGCACTCTTCAGCTTTCTGGCATACAAGTTACTCAATAACAAACAGTGAGACAAACATGTAAAATTCATTAATCTCTTCAGACATACAAACTGATAGCCTCCAGTTAGTATAAAAGTGCAGCCAACATAACATTCAATGAGTGCCCTGCAAAGACATACTGGTTTCATTCACAATGGAAATTTTCATATTAAATTTATTTCCAATTCCAGTGTTCAAGAATTAATAAAATACTGTATATTAAGGTTATTCCTAGGCCAGAGAAATGCTCTGAAGATAATCTGAAGATGCCATTATGAAGTCAGTCCATTCCTTGGCCAGCTCTTCAATGGAGACTTCCTCCCCCCCATATTCCTGTGGGAGCATGCTGACAGGGAAGTGTTCGGTCAGACTCTGCAAGTAGTTATTTCCGTGCATGTACACCTAAACCAAAATATTAAAAGCATTTACTTGGGTATGAATGCTAGACTGTTGAGTGAGAACAGGCAGCAAAGCATCTCAGTGCAAGAGCTGAACCTATCAGCTTGGTTTAACTAAATAAGTGTATTTGTTCATAATTAATTCCTTAAATGGAGGAACTACCCTTGTGAGTTTCCCCTAGGTACTCAAACTCGTCCTCCTCTGAATCTGAAGGCTGATGAAGGATGGACTACAACCTGAGAACTGCATTTTGTGTAGCTGTGAGCACAGGAGCCAAAACTAACTATGCACTTGTTCCAGACTGGTTTAGCAACGTTGGTGAGAGTACACACTACATCCAAACTGCTAAACTTAACTAAACCGTGTGAATACTGGTGATTTGTTTTGTCATGATATCTTGTCGTTGCCCTTTAGTCATTTCCAAGAAAAGAGCCCTGTCTGGCTCACGGCCATTACTATCTGGTCCTGCCACACGTATTTAAAAACAAGATTATGTAGTATGTATGTAGGTTAAAACAGGTGTCAAGGAAGATACTCAACAGAATCTATACATCAGTCCTTATCTTTCAGTTCCAACTGGAATTGGATTCTGGACTACTTCTCCACTTTAAGTCTTTCAACACTGTATGTTTGGTTCTTCTCCTCTTGCTTTATTGTAGCTATTTTGAAGCCTTGTTCATTATTTCCAGTCTGATACTTTTCTAGGATTGACTGTCCTGGCATGCAGTGGCTATTGCAAATGCCCAAGATCCATGTGCTGAGAAAAGGAGGCTTCAGAACTGAAATAACAATATTCTGCTTATTTTGTACCTTAGTCCTGCTGTTACCACTTCACTTTTGTGCCAGCTGAAAACTCCAGTATTTTTCATGTGCTGCAACAAACCATAGTCCTTGGCATGCTTTTGCATCCAAATACAAATCTTTTTGCAGATCTCTAACTGCAAAACTATTTAAAGCAAGTAAGGAGCTATTTGGAAAAAAAACTTAGAAATTAAGTCTGACCAATTTTTGATGCATAAATGCCTCTGGAGGTCTGTCAGAGCTAAACAGTTGTCTTCTACTATTGCTGCACAGCTTGGACCATAAAACACTGCTCAGTGATCATTTTTCTCTATCAATCATTTATAGGCAGAGCACTGGGAAATCCAGGACCTATTTCTAGTTCTGCAGAAGAATTGTTATGTGACCTCAAGAAAATTATTTAACCTCTTTGTGTCACTTTTTTTTCTCTTTAGAGGAGTGATAACAGCACCACTTGCTACTCTTATGTTAATAATAACTGCAAATGCTTTACTGTTAGATTCTGGAGGTCTGTATGGCACTAGCCAACAAAAATGATTTATGCTCTTCAGTACTTAGAAGTAACAGAGCCTAAGGAAAGTGCTGCAGATTTTCATATAAGGATTTTGTGGCAGAAAGAAATATTTGTGTGCACTCACCCGTTGCTTTATTTTTTCAGTGAGAAAAGGCTTAATTAGAGCGAAGACTGGGTGGAAGAATAAAGGCTCATTAATCAAGTGGATACCTCGAACTTTCAGTGGAAAGGAATCCTGTCAGCATACATGGAAAACAGAATAAGAAAAAGAAAACATTATTGAAACACCTCTATTACTAAGCACAGGCCTGTAAAAACTGTCTAGTCCATAGGTTATAGTATTTCTTCTGACCTTGCCAATTCTTTCTAGCAGTCTAAATTGAGAACAACATTTAGAAAAATCATATCTTGTTCCTCTCATTAGAGGGAAAAGATCTCAAAATACTTTCACCTCAGTAGGAGGTGAGATTGAATATTAAAAACAAACAGAAAAACAAAAAAGAAAACTATCACCAAATTGCACATAAAAATTGTACACAAACTTTGTGCTCAGCTTTTCTTCTAATGTACAATTTTTCACAAGATTCTGCTATTAATTTACAAAATGCTATCTAGATATGTGCTTTTATTGGCAATTTACAGCCATAAATATATATAAACTATTGAAAATACTAACTTTAAGTTAAGTAAGTTTTATTTATAATTTAGAGGTAAGCCTTGAAATTACTAGGAATTTGGCCAAGACAGAAGTTCAGCTTTACAACAAGATTACTGTTTTAATGAAAATTTTAAAATATCTGCTATACAACCTTTATAATATGAAACAGCTTGGATTCTACTTGCATTCATTTAAAAGTTCCAGATCTTTCAAATTTAAAAGAAAATATGGCAGTGCCCAAAACAAGCTTTGTGCAATGGGGAAAGTACAGCTTCCCTTCATATCCCACTTGATACTACCTCTGAGAGGTTTTCTGCTTATAAAAATGGTACTTCTCACAAACATATCTCCTCACTAGTTCAATAGTTCTAAGGAAGAAAAAATCCAAGGCTAAAACGTTTCTTTAGTGCCACTCCTAGATTTTAATGTATGATAAAGACCTTAAAATTATCAGCTTGTATGTTCACTTAATGTTATTATGGGTTATCATATACTTAAAGTCTACTATCATTTTCACAAAACAATTTTCTGCCTGGGATAAGTGACATTATCTTGAAAAATCTGTTATTATCCATAGTATGCTTTCCATTCCTTAGTACATATTTCCTTTCTATTAACTTCTGTTTCTTGATACAGGATAGTAATTTGCAAGACACATTTCCTGAGTAAAGTACAGGTTAAAACTAAGGTTTTACTTATAAGCATATTCTGGAGTGCATTAAGCATGTCCTGGGGTGTATCAGGCACAGCATCTCCAGCTGGGCAAAGGAGGGCATTGTCCTGCTCTCCTTTGCACTGGGGCAGCCTCACCTTGAATACTGTGTGCAGTTTTGGGCACCAAAATATAAAAAAGACATTAAGCTACTAGAGAGATTCAAATGAGGGTCAGGAGGTGGTGAAGAGCCTGGAGGGGAGGTTGTGTGAGGAGTGGCTGAGGCCACTTGGTCAGCTCAGCCTGGAGAAGAGGAGACTGAGGAGAAACCTCATCACAGTCTGCAATTTCCTTGTGAGGGGAAGAGGAAGGGAAGATTTCTTCACTCTCCTGACCAGAGACAGCACCTAAGGGAATGGCTTGAGGTTGTGTCAGAGAAGGCTTATATTGGATATGAGGAAAAAGTTCTTAACCCAGAGGGTGGTTGAGCACTGGAACAGGGTCCCCAGGGAAGGGATCACAGCTCCAAGCCTGACAAGAGTTCAAGAAGTGTTTGGACAATGCTCTCAGCCACATGGTGTTTCTCTTGGGGTGTCCTGCATAGGGCCAGGAGTTGATCTTGATGATTCTGATGAGTCCTTTCCAACTTAAGATATTTTATGATTATATAATATTGAACAACACTAATGTAATCTTTGGACAAAATTTACAAACCCAGTTAAAAGTGAGGAAAGGAATCAGGGGACAAAAAAAAAATAAAATTCTTTTTCTTCTTAGAAAAGAATACTGGAAACAATTTTTAGTTTTCCTTTTGCATAGCTAGAATAAGCATTTAGAAGTTTAAAAAAATCAGAAATAGGTCAAGATGGAAACAAAGTCAAAGAATTTCCTGCTTTGAGATAATGGATTGAAACCTTTAGATGTTCTTGCAAATCTTATTCTGCCTCCTTTCTGCTCTATTTCAAGGTTAAAAAAATTACCAGCAATATGTTTACTACCTCAGAAATCAACTGAAACACTATCACTAGTCCTGTTTCCATGAGATCTGACCCAAGACTGCATAACACCAGGAGTTCTTATTCTAGATGTACAAAGTTGGGAATACCTAATGGTTTCAATAAATTTTTATAGTAGGTATCAGAAAGGAAGGACATCTGAAGTTCTGATGATATTAATTCAATGACTAAGCTTTGATTGAATCTCAGATATGAACCTTACCAAATCAGAGCAAGAGATTATCTCCCTGGCTCATTTCCACATCACAGGCTAACAGTTTTATTATTACTGACTTTCAACGTAACTTCTGAAGGAAAATAAGATTATAGGACTACACTGTAGCTTGCCTGTCAATTCTCTGTCCCCTTCTTTCTTTAATTTTTTTTTCTCTCAAATTCAGTGGCAAAGTTAAACTGAATTTGGCAGAAATGAATAAGCCTTAAAGATAGTAAAGTCCTGAGATTTTATGAAAAACAGAAGGTGAAGTAACAGTGATTTGCACCAAACAATGCTCATGTTGTGGGAAGAAAGCAAGCAGAACATAAATGTTATACATTCTGTTGTTAGCAGCTGGAAGATCATATAAGCATCATCCATACTGGTAACAAGTTAGGAGTGTCTTTCTCTTAATTGCTTACAGTGCATGCTATTTTTAATATTCTCTGAGGCAGGAATAAATGCTTTAAATATTGATACACAGTAATAATACACAAAAGAATGGAAGAGAAAAGATGAAACAGGATAACAAACAGAGATCCTTCGAAAACTGGGCTTCATCTGCTCCTCCAGTTATGAAATTCTTGTGTTGTAACAGGTTGGTGGAGTTCTTATAAAATAGCAGAAGCTAGAGGGCATTTACTAGTGTACAAGAATAAAATTTAGGTAAAATCAAGCACAACTTGTAATTGTTTTAGGATTTTGTTCTTCTAAGTTGCATAGTCTGAGAATGCCTACAGAAGAAAAATTTACTATAGCTTGGAAGGGATGAAAAAATTGAAGTCATAGCAATGAAGCTGCATAAAGCATTATGTCATACTTACTGTGAGAACAGCAGCAATTTTCTTGGCCACTGCTGGACTGATTTGAAAAGCATGAGCAAATCTCCACCCTTGAAGGTCAAAGATGGCCTTGACTCCATTTCGCTGAGTCTCAATCTCCTTTACAATGAGTTCAGATGTAATGAGACTTACACGGAACACATCATATGCTGTAAATAAACTGGGATCCCACTGTCCTGAAGAGAAGATAGATTACCCTGCATTACAATGAGAAAACCCCATACACCTGCACTTTTTATTCCCATGGCTTCTAATGTGCTTCTCAGGAACAAGAATTAATCGGCAAGAACAAAGTTCCTGAAATAAACTGGTTTGCCAGTGCATAAGTTAATTTGTGTGCCTGCTCTCTCATTCATCTTTGATGCTCTTTTAGTAGATAGTACCATGTAATGTAGCATGTTCTACCTATGGCCACAGACCCAGTACAAGGTACAATTCAGTAACACTCATGCTAGCAGAAGCTGTAGATCATCAGTACAATCAATTAATATAATTGCTTTTCAGCACCGTAATTTTCTGGCACAACTCAGTGAATCTCATTTCTTTTTTTTTTTTTTTTCTGAGGCCTGAGCAAAAAAATTGCATGGGATGAGCCTTAACCCTAGATGAAAGCTTTAGAGGGCACAACCGCCTACTAGACCTACAGATGATAATAATACAGTTCTTTGAAAGTTGGCAAAAATAAAGTTTCAGTCCAAAACAAGCATAGAGATAAGACAGAAAACAAGCATGATGAGATTTAACTATGTACATTTTGAAAATATTTTTGGGAGATGCATCAAGCATTTTCTAAGTGTTGTTTGCTAGGACTCTGGCTACAAGTAAACAATGAAAGCCTGGTGAACTGCTCATCCCAGCCTAAACTGAATGTTGATATATGACAAGGTGTACACCATTGTTTGTGTTCTCCCTACTCTGTGCTGCATCTGCATCAGTACCACAGTCTTAGCCCACGACTTTGGCAATTTACTTAGAGTCAAATGATTTTTGGACACTCAGAGCCAAAAAAACCCTACATAATAATAAAATCTTATAAGTTTTAACCTTCAATTTGTTATGATGCAATAAGAATTTCACTAAAAAAGAAAATTAGGTTCTTCCTAAGGGATTGTACAGCTTTAGCTATACCAATATATAAGTAAAATTATTTAACTGTTATAGCTCACTAAGTTCATCTTTATATTAATGTAAATGCATTTCTAGCAAGGTACATAAATATATTAAATTTCTAGTTAAGATGTTCTGATATGATCTAGTTTTATCAACTCCTGCAGTTGTACCCATAAAATATTTTTGGTTTGCACCTGAAATGGTGGTAATTAAAAAAATAAACAAACCCCAATAAAAAACAAAACCAAACCAAAGCAAACAAACAAAAGCAAAAAACAACGCAAACAAAAAAACCCCTAAAAACTTCAGTGTCAGAATCAAGTGTAAAACCATTCCAAGCAATTTTGTCACTCACCAATTCTGTATATTAGAACTTTGCTTCCATGTGGGTCTCTTGATCTTAGGACTCCGTGATAGCCAGCTTGCAAAAGACCAAGAACAGAAGATGGTTGTAAATCTGCACTTATTTCTGGGCATTCGATTCTCCACTTCTGATAATTCTTCAATAACTGGAAAAAGAAAATAATTTGGATGTCAGGTAAGCATCAGCTATTATAGGAAGAGCACAGTTAAAAATATGTTTTCCAAATGTGGTCACAGTGAGGTTTAATTCATTAAATTAGCTATAATTTAATTGTATATTTTAATCAAATCACTCCTAGAAACAGAAGGTTGCTATACTGGATGAAGTGAGTAAATTGTCATGATGAATTTAGAACCCAGTCAAATCATTAATGGACCGCAGTTATCATTTTGTGTCAGAAAGAAAACTGAATATATAATAAGCCCGTCATTTCTATGTAAAATGCATCTAAATCCCATTTTTTTCTGCTCAGGTTACCTTTAGGATTGTTCATTTTGCTACTTCATCAGACTCATTCAGGATTTTTTTTAATTTAGAAGTGCAAAATTTTATGGAGGAACATTCTCCTTCTCTCACTCACTCTCTCCCTTCCTCCCTATTTTTTACAGTCATCAATAATTTCAATTTACTATTTGAAACAGGTATGGTCATCAGCATACCCAAAAACATGTTTGAGGTTTCTTCTACCCCTCTGAAATGAGAGAATACAACACAGAAGTGGGTCTATTACACATTGGACAATTTCCCTCCCACAGAGTGGAAATAATGACAACCTGTCTGGGTAAATAAAACAGAGATCCCATCTGCTGTCAGGACTTGGTCAGCCTGATCCCCAAGACTGGGAGGCAGCACCATAACCGGAATTTCTAAGGCACAGGAGGAGCTGTGTGTTGAAAGGCCATGGACTAATGCTGAGGAAGAGGCAATTAAAGGTGTTCCTTTGTGAGGTAACATCTGTGTTGAGGAATTACAGGCAGCACTGTGAAAGGTCATCTTAGAGATGGATTGTGAAAAGTTAAGTTGGTGATGCAGTAGTTCTAACTTCCAAGTCTAATTACTGTGTCTCCTTTAATATTAAAGTGGTTGTGGGGAAAATGAACTATGCCCTGCAATTAAAATTTATTTAAGACATTGTGCATAAGTAGGAAGCTAGGTAAGACTGTCTTCTAAAATGCTTCCTCTCTGCTCATCAACTAAAATTTGCCTCTGCTGTATCACCTCTGCTAAGGTTATCACGAAGTTTGGAAAGTAGAGAGATAGCTATTACAAGTAATTAATATTTTGTTTTAATTTCCTCAATGGCTATAACTTAGAGGTCTAACCCAAGACCTTCAAAGTAGCTAAGAGAACCAGGCTTTTCAGTATCTTGTTTCACAGCAAACCAAAACATAGCTTTAAATCTTAAAGGTGGCATGCACAGCCTGCCTAGCTTTTAAAATTTTTTTCTATATTTCATCAAACAGGAAAACTCAAGCTGATCCTTTGCACAGTTTCACAAATTGTGTTAATTGCACTGAAAGCATCAACGAAAATTCTTTGTCTTTTATTTCATTTGTATTAACAGAATTTTTTTTTCCTTTATCAATTACTCTATATTTTGTAACAGAAATACTCAAGTTAAAAGAGCTGTCAGGTCCAACTAATAGAATATAACTGTAAAAAAATTTAAATTTCTCATATCTGTGCAAGTATTATTTTCTTCAGTATTTTCACTGGAAGAATGATCAAAAGGAAATTCAGTAAAATTGAATTCATCCCTACACACTCTTAGAGGGAGACCTGGAATTCAGCATCCTGTAGCTCACAGCATGCTCATGTCAGATAATTAGTCTTATCTCCTATTCTTCCCTCTTTTTTTGAGCTTCTTGTATCATTTTACATAAAACATACCTTTTCTTCAGCTTAATGCTTTCCTGCTCAGATTAAGGTTATATGATTTTGAAGGTCTCTCAAAGGAATTGCCATGAGGAAACTATCTATAAAACATTATTGTTTATCAACAAAATTTGCTTTAAAATACATGGCACACTGATTAGAAATTAGCTATTTTTTATGGAAATAGAGCCTATAAATACATATTTAGATTTTTTTTTTTTTAATTATATACCATGCTATTATCCCACTTGATTTGGCAGTGGAAAAAAAACAGATAAAAGCCACATCCTAAACCATCACCATAGAAGGAAACATTTAACCATTAGGAGAATTTTATTAGAAGTCTATTGACTGCATTCAATCAGATTTAGCCTAGGTTAGTTTTAAAACTAACAAACAAACCTGGTGAAGGAAAAAGGGAGGAAGTAGGAAAAGTAAGTTAATTTGTGGAGCAGAAGTTCACTACAATTGCAAAGATAGGCCTGTTGAGGTACTCTGATTATCTCATTCTGTCAGTACTTTACTGTCTACAAAGGGCACTGTTTGAGCAATCCCAACTGCTTTGTGCCAGACAGCAATGTCAACATGTTTTTTCCTTGGTCTTTCCAAAACAGACTCTGAAAAAGCAGCAAAATACAAAACCACCCTGAAAACAACTATGCAAACATCTGTCGGTTTGTAATTTGTCACTTTTCTTCTAAAATCTGTGGTACCACAACATCATGAAGACATATATTTTAAACACCTCTTTGAAGAACTCCCTGCCAAAACTAGGATGAGAACAAAAATGGCACATTAATTCAATATCCTAAATAATCCTGTCTAGTCAATACAGATAGTTTCTCATTTTCATGATATTTGCATTTTCCAAGTTGGAAAAAAAGGATTTAAGTTCTTGGACTTTGGAAGAAAGAGTGGTGTTTTCAACCTGTGATGCACTCAAGATCCTTACAGAAGGCATAGTTAACCTACTTGCACACCTATTAAGTAGTAAATATATGGTTGGAATACTTTCTGACACTTTCCACAAGTAAGTGGTGCACCTTTCAGACATGTAACTTGGCTGAGCCTAAAATATACTTCCCTTGGCAAGAAAATCACAAAGTGCTGAAGAGTTCTCAGATTTTGAAAACCTAATCTAATTACCTAAAATTATTTAGGTCTGAAGTAAGGGTCAGCATTACAGCATCTTCCACAGAATCTACAGCTACTTTTGGCAGATATTCTGTAAATTTTTATTTATGTAAGCAACCCCTTTCTTACAGCTGGACATAGTCAAGCCTCACATGGCCACTTAAAAGAGTAATCCTTAAACATATAAAGAAATTCAAACACTAGCAGTAGTTTAGAGGTTTTCTAGTTTTACACTGTTTAAGCACAGAAATTAATGTAAAATTTTTTTCAAGTAAGATTCTTTTTCAGCAGGGTAAAACATAAATATTGCATATAACAATCAGTTTGGATATAGATGAAACAACCTAATGTCAGGAAAAACAGACACATTCATTACCCAGTATAAAAAATGGCTCACACATTTAACGACTCAAGAAAAACATCTCAATGTATAATTATCTGTGTTTACAAATGGAATAACCTACTTAGCATCTGCTCAGCATCTGAAAATAGATGCAAGATAACTCGATAAAGGGGGGGAGAGCTGGATGAAAAACTCCAGTGTCTGTAGTTCAGCATTAATTAAGAGGGTTTTTTCCCTGATGTCTGTTGGGGACAGTTCCAGATTTCTGTACATTAGAGATTACAAAGTTACCAATTAAACCAAGATTCAGGTCCTACAAACCAAAGTGAACTTAGTACTTTACTTAGAAGCCAAGTAACTAGAAAACATTGTGGTTGTTAGAGAAACTAATGCATATGTAAAAGTAAATTAATTACATTTTTCTTGATTAACAACTATTTAGTTATATTAACATGGATGATAGGCAGAATTAGGCCTCTGTTGTGTCAGAAGTTGTATCAGTGCACACAATGCTTGGGAAAAAATATTTTCTACTGGCATTCTTTGCAGGAGAAACCACAGCTCAAATTTCAGAATATAAACCTTTGTGTGCATATGTATTTTATACATTTTTTAAATATATGTGTGCACAAATATACCCAGAATTTAAACATACAACTGTATGTTTAAATTTATACTACTCAGACAAAGAATTTGAAATATTTTATAGAGACACAGAACTTTCCTAATTCTTCATGCATTACTTCCTTGTCACTGGAAAAAGACTGGCACGTGCTGGCTTAGCACAGAGAAGCCTGGCTGACTGATTTGTTTCCTCAAGAGTCAGCTCAGAGAGATAATAAGGACTCTTCCATCCTTTTCAAGGAATTCCTCAGTATAGATGGAAGAAAAGCAGCCAAGTGACTGATTTCAACTTAGCATTTATGTTTGAATGACGTGAAGATCCTCAGAGATGATGTCCACGACTCAGCAGTGTTTGACACTACAGAAAACAACACTGCTTGCATAGCACAGTCATCCTAAGTGACTTCCTTGCAGCAGAACACACTAGGAAATCCTCATTCCTCCGTAAGTCGAATGAAAAACAAAATTCTGGCTTTCTACCTTGGTATCAACCAGAACTCCTAAAAGGATCCTAGATATTTAGAGAGTTTTCAGTGCCACAAAGTGATGCTTATACATTTATGTTATGAAAACCCTTTGCATAGAGCTTCAACACCAAACATTTTCCCTCTGTTCCCCAGAATATAATCTACTTCAGGTACAAAAAGACAGCATGCCAAAGTCACTGAGAGTGAGTCCTATACAAGAGTTATAGGATGTAATGGATAATAAAACAGGAAGAAACATATATGTCCAAAAGGAGATGCTAGTTGTCCAGATTTCACATACCAATAGTGAATCCAAGTGGCAGTGTTTTCAGTGATAACAGCGAACTCAAACATACACACATAGCTGGTACATTCAAAAAGGGGCAGACACTGATCTCAGTGGTGACCAGTGACAAAACATGAGGGAATGGCCTGAAGTTGTGTCAGGGGGAGTTTAGGTTGGGTATTAGAAAAAGGTTCTTCACCCAGAGGGTGGTTGGGCACTGGAACAGGCTCCCCAGGGAAGCGGTCACAGCACCAAGCCTGACAGAGTTCAAGGGGCATCTGGACAATGCCCTCAGGCACAGTGTGACTCTGACAGGGTGTCTGTGCAGAGCCTGGACCTGAACTTGAATGATTCCTGTGGGTCCCTTCCAACTCAATGTATTCTGTGATTCTGTGAGAATAGTCTGTTACTGAGCTTAACTGAATGATCACTCTTCAAGAAATTAAGGCAGTTTTATCTCTTCTTCAAGTCCTTCAATTCCAGATACCTGTTTGAGTGCTGGATTTTCTTGTAGCATGAGAGATATCAATATATCATTAAAAGCAAGTCTGGAATTGCCACTGGAAAAATGGAAAAAATTGATGTTGTGAGTCACCATAAAGGATATAGAAATTGAATGTTTTGACACAATCTGCCTGATTATTCTTTTCTGAAGCATTTCCAAATGTTGGTAACTGACAACAGATAAATGTGTGTCAATTATTAACCAGAAATGCATCAATAAAATGGTCTGATCAGGTGCCAGACTCTTGATTCATAGTTAAGGCTAAGTATAAGCCCATACTAAGACGCTGGACAACCTTTGCTTATATGCACTGACAGGGCCATTAACTTTGATTATCCCTTATCTGCTCTACAAATACTATGCAGTAGTACAAGGAAGCCCAGTGAGCCTGAACTCAAGAGAGGCAACATCAAATCAGGACAAGAGGGAAGAGCCACTCTCTGGACGGATGGCAGGAGGGCTCTGTCTAGGATGAAGTACTAACATAACTTCTGCATGAAGTCACACTTGGGTTAGATGAATGTACAACTGAGGACCATGAGAGATTTTTGCCCAATAATTCTCTTTGGCCTTGATATACCAATTGCAATAAACACATTCTTGTGGTGAGGGGGGAAGTGCTTCTGTAATTCTTCCATTACTGTAAGAGAAGTATTCTAGAAAATGGTGTCAGCTGGTATGTAGAAGATTAAGTGCAAGTGGCTACAGCACTTGGAGAACTGAAATTCTAGACAGAAACATTAAACACAGGTTGGTTTTCAACATCAGAATTTCTTAATTTAAAGGCAGGTTTGAAATCCAGAAACTTAGCAGCCTGAGGAGACCCAGAAAATCTAAAGAGGTTTTAAAAAGACAACTTTTCAAAGGAGGCCCCCAGTGTTGATGGCTGACTCTCAAGAGAAGCATAGGAAATTTGCTACTTCATAGACTCCCATCTCTAAACCTAGTCTAGATTCCACACTCCCAAAGATTAGTCCTACCTACCTAACACACATCCCATCAAAGTGCAAAAACACACAGGCCAAATTCAGAGGTGCCATCATCCTGTCTACAGGATTACCAGTAACAACCAACTACAATGCAATTAGGAGTGGATATTCAGGAATCCCTAAAACTAGTCTAGATTCCACACTCCCAAACATCAGTCCTACCTACCTAACACACTCACATCCCATCAAAATGCAAAAACACACAGGCCAAATTCAGAGGTGCCATCATCCTGTCTACAGGATTACCAGTAACAACCAACTACAATGCAATTAGGAGTGGATATTCAGGAATCCCTATGTCCTCATTAAGCCCTTTAAGCATTTTGGGACCAAGAAACACAGGAAAATAAAATGGCTTTTGTTTGGAAAGAAAAAAAAAAGGCATGGTCCTACAATGGTTAGTGCACAGCTTTGATATAAACACTCTCATGAACTTCAAGTAAAAGTAAGACACATAAAATCCAAAGGAATCTGACTTGACTCCTTGGTTCTTTGTTAAGGAGGAAAGGTTTAAAGCTATGATGCAAATGTCATGAGTCAAATGCAAAGAACAAAACCAGAAATTTTAAAGCTACTTATGATTAAGGGCTTAATTCAATTTCTCAATTTCCTTTTTTAGCTACCTTGATCCTGCAATACATCTATGCAAACAATGATCTCTTATGGCGAGTAAACTTGGAAAATCTATAGTCCAGAGAAGTCAGAAACTAATAGGTGAAGAAACTAATAGGTGAAGTCTGTTGGGCAATGCAGTGTAAACAACACAAAATTCCATGGAAACACAGCTTTCAGTTGGCACATGTGAATCAACGCTTTTGCCCTGGGAGGATTTGGAAATACTTTCTGTTCCAAAGGTTTAATGGCTGTCAATCTTTCATTAAAAAAAATAACAAACTGATAACAATCTGTGCCTTTGGGTATTGAAAATATGTGTGCTCTGTGGCAAAAAGGCATGCAAAGAGCTGGGAAAGTACCACAGCCTGCAAGGAGTGCTGTAAAAGACTAAACTCCAAGCAAAAAGTTTTTACTCATAGTTTTGGAGTAATTATAAGTCTGTAGTGAAACTAGTACGCCTGCTAGTAACCTGAGCCTGACAATCATGACACGGGCGTCCTTTGAAGGATACTGTTTCCTAATCGGAGCTGTGACCTTACCGCACTGACTGTACGGGCGAGTACCGCGCCTACCACAGCCTTGGTGTTACCACATGGATCCCGCGCCGAGCCGGCCGCCACAGCGAGCACTGACTCGCCGGGGACACGCGTGACAAGCCATCATTCACACCCGGGAACCCCGCTCGGCCCCGCCCGGCCCGGCAGCGCAGGGCACGGACCCCCCCCAAGCCCGGGCGCCGGGACCCGCCGCCGCCGCTCCTCACCCTCCAGGCCAGCTCCAGGTGGAAGTCTCGGGCGCGCAGGAACCGCACCAGGAAGGCATCGGAGAGGGGCTGCGGCCAGCGCTGGCCGGGCTCTGCCTCCGCCCTCCGCCGCAGCTCGGACACGGCGCCGCGCACCCGCGGAGAGTGGTCGGGCAGGTCATTGAGGAGCCCCGCGCCCGGCGGAGCCTGCGACATCCCCACAGCACAGCCGAGCTCAGCCCCGCCGCCGGCCCCGTCCCATTGAGCGGAGCCGCGGCGGCGGGGCCCGGCCCAGCCCGGCCCGGCCCGGCTGCCCCCGCCCCCGCGGGATTAACCCCTGAGCGCCCTCCCGGGCCCCAGGCGAGGGAGCGGGCAGGTGGGCACCGCCCTGCCTCTCCCGGGCTTGGTTTCTCCACTTTTAGGGGCTTGACCGGTTTTTAGAATTTTACGCTTTACGGCCATCTCCTGTGTATCTCTTCCAGCCCCAAAAGTGAGCCGTACCTGCTCGCTCTGCAGGGGCGGCCCCCGCCGCTGGTACCCGCGGCGCGCACCGCAGCAGGGTCATCCCTGCCCCCGGGACCCGCTAAGGCTCGTGGCCTCCCCTTTTGGCTAAAATAACCCATCTTTAGATACTAAATCGCAAAATGCTGCAACTTCATTGCAGCTGGGAAATGAAGCGCAAAGTGGGGTCCCTACTGGTGCAAAATGGCCTTGGAGCACCTCATCCTTAACGTGCATATGCAGTAATGAAAATATATTCACTCTACCAGGAGAAAGGGCGGTGAAACTGAATTCAACCTCAGTCCAACTTTGCTGCACAGCAGTGAGTTCGATTATGAAAAGTAAAGAGTTCATTGCTATTATTTTATTTTGCATTTTTAGTATAACCTTTTCCTTGTATTAGGTTTCCTTTGGAATCTCTCTGGCCTACCTATGCTAAAAGCCTTATTTCATTTAATATACAATTATTAAGGCATGCTTAGGTCTAGTAAAAGGTTTACAAAACTTTGTCTATATTACTTTTCCCTTTTCTGACTTTCTACAGTTAATACTTTTTGATCAGCATTTTTCCATATCCGACCATGTCTTGGACTCTTATACATTACTGAAATGTCTACAGGTATCCCCCTCAGCTTTCCAGTTGGAGGAGGGGGTTTTTTTGCCACCCCCTCCAAAAGAAAAAAAAAGGAAAAAAAAGGCAGAAACTCAAGGGAATGAATAGGGAATACAAGCTTGCAGGGAGAAAGTATTGGAGGAAAGGATAAAAACTGGGAAACAGGTGTGCAGTCAAGAGTATTTAAGAGTATTTAGATGTGGATATCTGGACAAAGAGGTGTGAGGAAGTGTGGGCTTACCCTGGAACAAGAAGAAAAAGCAAGCTGGAAATACAGCAAGAAACAGAGAGAACAGAATATGGAGGAGACACTAACAACAGGTTTTTAAAAACCACTCCTTTAGTTTCTGGGCAGAGCTTCCATGGGAAAGATTTGCATGCAAATGTGTAACCCAACCATGGGTGGTAGGAGAAAAACAAAGCTAAATCACAGAAAGTTCATACAGTGATTTTAAACACCACTTCATAATTTTTGCCATCTTACTTTTTTTTCTTTTTTGCCACTTACTTTTGCCATCTCAGAATTCTCTTAACTCAATGCTTCATCTGTGAAAACAAAAAGGGCAAGAGAATACAGATCCTTTTCATTAGACGGATCAGCTGAGCAACTCATAGCTTCTAACTCTTTTCTACAAAATTCATATTGTGATTTAGGCTTCACAGATGAACAAAGTTAGTTATACAAGCAGTTTCAGTGATTTCCCTCAGGACTGAGTTACAAAAATATCTGTAAATTTGAGAATTTTGTTACAAATTCTGCAAATGAGGCCATATTTGTAAGACTAATGAGAACTCCCTGACTATGAAGATGTGATATCATCAAGGCTTGCTTCAGAGGTGCCATGCTGTAAACTTGACCCTTCACCAGAGCAATTAACACCTGTTGCAAGATGAAGCTTGTAAGTTTTTGTTTTGTTTAATTACATGTGAAAAAGATCTCAAGTGTCTGAAAGCTCTGTCTAAATAAATTATGCCTGTTGGTAAACTTTGCCTTGTTTGTGCCCTTGAACCACAATGATTACTCTTATAAAAAAGACCTGAAAATGTGACAGCAGCTCTTTGATGTTTCCTTTTGGCATATTCCTGTGACAAACAGACTTTTAATGGATAGCTGGAATTTGCAGTCCTGCAAGAGTAAAACCCAGACAATACTTTAACAGGTCTGTGACAAGTGTTCAAGAGGTGTGGAGGCAACTATCTTAGATTGACTGTAACATATACATGCACTTGTGCTTCTTTTTTTTACAAGATTCTATAAAAATTTTAAAATGTTTTTGAGTTTCAACTCTACAGTAGTTATTGTGTGGTTTTTTTTGTGAACGATATGGATAAATACAAAGACCTTGTCTTTCATGCACATGCACTTAACATTAATATACAAGTTTCATTAGGATCAAGATTAAGAGTTTAACTTGCATAAAGGGTGAACTTAATTCCAGACACTGATGTTTGCAGGAGGTTAGTATCTCTATAAATTAAGTTCTAGTTAACTTGCTTAAACTTGTGCAGAGGACATGGAACATCATGGAATGTTTAATTTTCAGGTCTTTGATTTTTCTACTAAGAATTCACATATTTAAAACACATAAATGCAGACTGGTGAGTCAGGAAATCAAGATAAATATTGGGAGAGTTGATTTATGGTTCCAAACAGATTGCTCTTTCCTCTTGCTTATCTAGTCAAAGAAGTGCACACCAGCTAAAGCAAAGTAACCCTACACTCCCAATAGAATTCAAGTATTAATTCTTCAAGATTATCACATATTCCAGGGTGAACAGGCATTTAATACGAATTACAATTACATTTATTAACTAAAGAGACATGACATTCCATGCACATGAAAAAAATATTGCCTATCACTCTGGTATTTATTATGTACAGGTAAAAAAATCCAAAATCCCTCCAAACCAATAGTCCTGTACAGGCAAACTCCTGTACAAATGTAAATTTCCAGCGAAGTCCAGAGCAGACAGCCACATCACTTCAAGCTTGTCACAGGAATCTGTTCATGTTAAGTACTTTGGAACTGGAATATTATTGTGAAATCTTTCAAGCTAAGCAAAATTGAATTGGGAGCTCATTACTGTATCTGAAGGGTGACCATTTTGTACAGCAAAAAGGAGTGTAAATCATTGTCACCCTTTTCTGAATCCATTCTGTAAGAATACTTCAGCCTAGTAGTGCTGAAGACACAAGCCTTTCACTGAAACCCTGAAGTGTAGCAGGTCTGGCTGCAGTGTATACTTTCTGATTTTCTGTCTGAATTTCTCCATGACCCATCCTCCTGTCGTCTGTCTACTCCCTGGTGCTGGTGGCATTGTTTGAAACTATTTCAAACCTTTTTCTATTGTACTGGACTAAAAGCTTATAACATACTGTGTAGTGAGGTTGGTTGGTGACTCAGCAAATTAGTAACAGCCTTTGAAAGTCTTACTCTGTAGTGTAATTCAGCAGTCCCAGCTGGTAGGTCCATGGCAAAGAACTTGTCTTTTATTTTACACCACAACAGACTATATGCAAAACTATATGCAAATAATTTTTAAAAAATGTGTAATATAAGCACAGCCCAAGCTTCTACTTAAATTAAACCTACTTTGCTCTGCCTTTTATTTTACACCACAACAGACTATTTGCAAAACCATCTTGGTGTAAAAATAATTTTAAAAAAATGTGTAATATAAGCACAGCCCAAGCTTCTACTTAAATTAAACCTACTTTGCTCTGTAAGACACTGCAATCCTCAGTGGGTGATGAGATAATGAAAAACATTGAAGGCCAGGAACTGGCAGGGTCACTCAAGGACTGACTGAGCTACGATGTCTTTGATCCTGCTGTCTTGCTGTAGCAAGAGTATGAATCATCTGTATCAAACTGCATGCAGAAGTGATGCTTGTTCACTGCCAGGTATGTGGACATGCTCTCGAAGTCTGAGCATGTTCTGAAAGCAGTAAGGACTCAGTAGACCCAGCCCTGTCACATGGCTGTGAGAATATGCATCACACTATATACAAGGGGAGAAAAGACTTGTGTAGGTTCCTTAACTCTCATCTCTTCCTCCTACTCTGCTATCATAATTTTCCTTTCACATACTGAATTAAAAATGGGTCTATGCTGCCTGCAATTTGTATTGTGTTAACACACAGAAAACTTTAAGATGAGTCATTGACAACTTAATTCCATTTAACACCAGCTTCTCTGTTTCCACCTGAAGGCAAATCATCTCCACTGAATTTCTTAATGTACTTTTATTAGCAGGCAAAATCACTGTCCACTGCCTTGATGGCATAAAGCTTCACAGGCTTGGGCATTGATATTTTATTTACAAAAGAGCCCAAGTGTGAGAAGCCACATTAGAACCCTAGCCTGTGGATAGATTTCTGTTCTTCCTGAAATAGTACCCATCCTCTTTGCTGATCACGGGGGATCATGATGAGATAAACCTAAGGGGTTAGAAATACTACCCAGTGTGAACTGAAATTGGATTATAATGTGTCTGGATCTGGTGGCATGTCATAGAGTCAGTCTAGACTGGAGAACTTTCTGCATGGTAGGCACCAATGTCAGCTCTTCAGTAGGGCTGCTGTCACTGGGATATGTCCAAATTTTTTTCCCTTTGCTAGACAGCAAAGTTGTGGAGGTCCAGAGAACAGCTACTTTTACATAAAGTCTGTCGATATAATTTCAGAGGAAATGTGTGGTTTTCAGGAGTCTTTTTCCAGAATCTGTGTTGAGAAGTGACTGTCCATTGTTGGCTGTTGCAAGTTAGCAACTGACAGGTTTTAGATGATGAAGTCAATGTGACCTAGTTTCCAGGTGACCAGTGTTTCAAGTTCCTTCAGCATCCTCAGCAGATGGTGGAGGCCTGCTGCCTTCTCTGTGTGGGCTGTTCCTGGAGCTGAGGTAGGATCCTCTGCCTGACAGGGACAGTGGTGCTGTGCTGGCTGTGACCCACACACGGGCTGACCCGTGAGCCTGTGTGGACAGGAGAGAGGTGAGGGCAGTGGAATTCGTGCTGCAGATAATGCTCCAAGCATTATACTTTGTAAGCACTAAATACCTTTGTGCCCTCGCCTTTCTGTTTGTTGTCAGCATTAGCTCTTGGGTTCAAAAGTTATGAGAGAGAGAGAGAAACAGAGAGAGAGACAGGACAGAGTCTGACTGACAGACAGAGAGAAGGCCAGGCAATGTGATCCCATTTATTTCCTTGAGAATAAATTAAATCATACACAAAACTGTAGGTTGTATGTTGGAGGGTGGGATTATCCAAAGCTCCTAGATCTAACATGGTAACTTTATTTATGCACCTCATCTTAACTCAGATTAAAGGAGAATTAGGAACCTAAGTAATAGTTAAAGTCTAACCTAAATGACTCTAATAGGATTTGCTATATCAATTGATTAGCCTTAACCCCACCTGCTGTATTTAAAATGGTAGACGACAGGAATTTTGGCACTGATTTTGAGAGTCTACCATTTTATAAAGCTTATGTAAAAGCAATGATGATGCCTGAAAACCTTGAAAAATGTACAATCACAACATTAGGTGTCCTAATTCACACCATGGTAAAAAATGTCACTGGGGAAACAAAGGTTTACATTGCTGACAAACAGTCAGTAATGATGAAGCAATGTTGGTACAAGCTTTTGCAGCGATAAAATTAAATAAAATAAATATTGGATAAGAGATCCCTCATTTTCTATAGACAGTTAAAACATACAGTGTACCAGAGAAATGTTCCAAAGGCACAATCAAAGTAGGCCTTCATTTAGTTTTCATTACTTTTACATGCAGGGTGTGCAGCAAAGAGCCATATGTTGTGGCAGATAAGGTGCACTGACACTGTCAGGACCCATGAGCAAATTCTGGCTGATAACTATTTGCAGCAAGGATTGCAGATGAAAGTAAGCAGAGTGACGAGAAGTAGAGATGTAATACCTTCATCTGCTGGGTATTGTAAAACTAAGACTGGTATGCCTCACTATCAAAATTAATTTCTCCTAGTCAAATAGAAAGCAGATTTCATCAGTAGGACCAATATTTCACTCTCACATTTTTTTTACCCCACAGGAAAGTTGATTTTAAAGAGAAAGACTAATTAGCTTTAAAATGCTATTTCTTTAAACTGTGAACAAGAACTTCTCTGTATGTTTTTCAAATAACAAGTTATTTATAATGAATGCAAATAAATCTGTCCAGAGGACAACCATCCATTTACTGCATTCCAAGATTAGAAAATTTGCTTTCATTTTGTATTGTAAACCCCAAAACCTATGAGAGCATTCTGTATCAAAACATTTGTATTTGAATTTAAAATGTCAGATGGATATTTAGACACTGTACTTACACTGACTAGATCGTCAACATTGAACATTTCAGGACAGAAAATCAAACCAAACTGGCAGATCTCTCTACATGCAGACTGGTTAACCTCTGTGAAAGCTTTGAGTTTAAACGAGGAATATCTCCTTCAAAGAAATTATTCTGAGGAGCTTTATTGCAAAATCCAGATGAACGGCTTGATTTTCAAACGTGCTTAAACTTGCACAAAGTATCAAAGGAGGATAATAGGGCTTCTCAAAATTATGTCTATTGAGAAGCTTATCTCTAGGAACTTACAAAGAAGTTGGGCAGAGTCTAGGCAGTGCAAATAGTTTGACCCATGTAAGTTCTAAGCATTAGGGTACTATTTGCCCATCTCCCTGACAGTAAAACCAAAGCTAATAAATAACCACATTGCATCATAATTCCTTGCTACTTCAGGGAAATCCTGTTTACTTAGACCCCTGCCTGCCAAATAAAACAATATTTGAGTCCTTCAGTGAGATATAAACTTCAATCCAGATGGGCAATCACTGGGTATTAACTGACTCAGATGAGTTAATAAATGAAT